TTAGTCTCTCATTACAGCTCATGTCTCTTAACTCTGGAATTAGTTTTGTTGCAACCCCTTGCATTTTTTTCTAGTTTCTTGACTTGTTTCTTCAGGTGTGGGTTCCAAACCTGGAGCTACATACTCCACAATAGGCCTGACACACCGTGTGTTATATATGGCATCGTAAATGACTCAGCGCTGAAGTTCCTGAAAGCTAATCATACATTTGCCAGACAGGTGTTTGCCGCAAAAAATAGTTGGTTGATGGATGTCTCCGACGATATGCTCGGTACACTGCTCACCCCGAAGTCCTCCTCGAGTAAGATTTGCAGCCTTCGCTTCCCTAGCCTGTACTCTCTCTCTCTCTCTCTCTCTCTCTCTCTCTCTCCTCTCTCTTGACACCTTGCCATAAACTCTACTAGATCTGTGAGATAGAATTTATCATCACAAAAACCATGCTGGTTGTTGTCAATACACCAACTCCGTTCCAGGTGCTCCCCCACTCTTATCCTGATCCTCTTGTCTATAATTTTACACAGTATGTATGCGGCACTGGACTTTAAGGCCACCCGTCTGTTACCTTTCATAAACACTGGTAGTACATCTTACACACCACTGAGTTGTCCGGTATCACTTGACCTGTTGAAGATTGTGGTTAATGGTCCACACAGTGCTTGTGCTCCCTCTGAACTGATGGAGAGATTTGATCTGGTCCCGCTGTCTTCGAGGTTCTGAGATCATTCAGTTTCTTCATCTCCTATCCTGGCGTGTGTATTGTGTCCAGCACTGTTTGGTGCACTCTTCCTCCTTGACTTTTTTGTAATGTATCAATTTCCTTTGAAATTACCTGAAATCTTTTATTCAGCTTCTCGCAGATTTTCTGGTCATTTCTTGTGAGCTCTCTCACTTCCTTCCACTTTTCTTGATCTAAAATCTGCATTTGATATTGCAAACAGAACAGTTATACTACATGAACTAGCCAAAATGAATATTGGTGGTAGCTTACTCTGCTGGATAATAGGATACCTGTCAAATAGAGTATCCTCTGTCCTTTACCAAGGCTTCAGAAGTGATTCTAAAGAAATGTCTTTAGGTACACCGCAGGGAGGAGTTCTTAGTCCCATGCTATTTAATATTCTGATTAATGCTCTCCTAAATGCTCTACCTGCCTCACCTAAACATATAGCTATAAGCTATGCTGATGATATCATGATCCATACAACAGGGCATAAGAAGATGAATACCATTCTTAATGAAGTTCAAGCAATTTGTAATCGACTAGGCCTCATAATATCTTCCTCTAAAACAAAGATATTAACAAGCAAACGACATCCCCCACCCATCTATTTGCAGGGTGAAATCATTAGCTACGTTAAAACTTACAGATATCTTGGTGTAGATGTACCCTTTAACAAATCCACTATACCACAACTAAACAAGAAATGCAAAGCTAGGCTAAATGCTCTCAAAGCTGTTGCTGGCTACAATCCCAACTATGGTGCTAATGTGAGAATCGTGAGAATGATGTACATAGCCTATGTTAGGTCCTTAATTGATTATGCTGCTCCCATGTTGATATTAGCTAGAGAAAGTTCCCTCCGACCCTTGGAGTTAATGCAAAATGAAGCTCTCAGGACTATTCTTGGCTGTCCCAGATCTACAAAAGTTCTTAACATGAGGAAGGAGCTTGGTATTTCTAGAATCAGTGATAGGATTGTTGAAATTAACACTGTACTCGGTATTAGAATGTTGAGAAACGAACCAGACACTGTCACAGTGAATCTTACCAAGTGTCTAGAGGTAAATACACACAGATCTAAATGGATTGTGAAAACGTGCAATTGCATTAAGTTTTATAACCTGCATGAACTGTATCACTGTAGGCAACAAGAGCATTTCACCCCTCCATGGAAGATGTGTTCATTTAATATCACATACCTACAAGTCCCTCCCAAGAAGCTCATTGCTAGTAATCCCTTCCTTAAATCTCTTGTTAGAGCAACTGCTCAAGAAGAAATTTTTCGCCTAGCTGGTAGTAATAAGTTATCACAAGTTATATACACTGATGGATCTAAACAGGAGTCTTCTGGCAGGGCTGCATCTGCTCTTGTTGCCACCTCCCTAGTTAAGAACGATAATAAATTTGTTGAGTTAGGCATAAGAATTAACAACTGGGCGTCTACACTGCAAACTGAATTGTTTGCAATCCTAATGGCGCTAAAGCTAACCTATGACACTGAGCTTGACTCTATCATCATTACTGATTCTATGTCATCATTGAAGGCTCTTGGCTCATATAATGACTCCAACAACATGCTCATTGGGGAAGCCAGGTATAGATACTCAAAAATTAGGGACAAAGGAATTAATGTACAATTGCTATGGATCCCATCACACATTGGATTACTCCTTCATGATAAAGTTGATATGTTAGCCAAGAAGAGTATCCAGAAGGAGAACATAGAATATAACTTTGGTATAACTGTGTCTAGCATTAGGAATAATATTAGGAGAGAAGTAAATAATGAAGATGATTGTTATAGGAATGCAGTTAGAAGCCTGAGTAGATCTATAACCCACTATGATAACATGAACGTAGATAAGTATGTTTATGGAGCAACTTGCAATGTGAACAGACTGACTGATGTTGTAGTGGCCAGGCTTAGGCTTGGTTACAAGTACTTCTGGCAGTTTGGGAGACACACAGATGATGATCAAACTAAATGTAAATTATGTGATCAGGCATATGGTCACTCTCTTGAACACTATGTGCTTAATTGTCCACTTATTGAGGAATACAGAGACAGACAGTATAATAACCTATGTGACATGTCAAGATATCTTATTAATGAAAATAAGATACCAGATATACTAAGCAAATTTCCTAAATTTGCTTGTAACAGATAAGTGAACTATAGATATGTAGATATAAATCCATATGTATTCCTGTTAACCCTTTGGGGCCTAGTTCCTAGGCCTTTTGTGTATCCATATGCTCTCGCGCTACCGTCCACAGGATGGATATGGGGTGCACAATAAACTAGCCACTTCGGTGGCAAAATCTAATCTAATCTTCTTCAGTAATTTTACTTGGTCGTTCATTGTTGTGTGTGTGTGTGTGTGTGTGTGTGTGTGTGTGTTTTACATACCTAATTTGCGTTAAAGTTCCATATCCTTTCAAAACAGTCTCAACTGTTATTTCTGCCTTCCATGCACCACCTAACAACCATCTACCACCTACCAGCCATCTATCACCTACCAGCCATCTATCACCTACCAGCCATCTACCACCTACCAACCATCTATCACCTACCAACCATCTACCACCTACCAGCCATCTACCACCTACCAGCCATCTACCACCTACCAGCCATCTACCACCTACCAGCCATCTATCACCTACCAACCATCTACCACCTACCAGCCATCTACCACCTACCAGCCATCTACCACCTACCAGCCATCTACCACCTACCAGCCATCTACCACCTACCAGCCATCTACCACCTACCAGCCATCTATCACCTACCAGCCATCTACCACCTACCAGCCATCTACCACCTACCAGCCATCTATCACCTACCAACCATCTACCACCTACCAGCCATCTACCACCTACCAGCCATCTACCACCTACCAGCCATCCACCACCTACCAGCCATCTACCACCTACCAGCCATCTACCACCTACCAGCCATCCACCACCTACCAGCCATCTACCACCTACCAGCCATCTACCACCTACCAGCCATCTACCACCTACCATTCATCTATCACTTACCAGCCATCTACCACCTACTAGCCATCCACCACCTACCAGCCATCTGCCACCTACCAGCCATCCACCACCTACCTGCCATCTACCACCTACCAGCCATCTATCACCTACCAGCCATCTACCACCTACCAGCCATCTATCACCTACCAGCCATCCACCACCTACCAGCCATCTACCACCTACCAGCCATCTACCACCTACCAGCCATCCACCACCTACCAGCCATCTACCACCTACAAGCCATCTACCACCTACCAGCCATCCACCACCTACTAGCCATCTACCACCTACCAGCCATCTACCACCTACCAGCCATCCACCACCTACCAGCCATCTGCCACCTACCAGCCATCCACCTACCAGCCATCTACCACCTACCAGCCATCTACCACCTACAAGCCATCTACCACCTACCAGCCATCCACCACCTACTAGCCATCTATCACCTACCAGCCATCTACCACCTACCAGCCATCCATCACCTACCAGCCATCTACCACCTACCAGCCATCCACCACCTACCAGCCATCCACCACCTACCAGCCATCTACCACCTACCAGCCATCTACCACCTACCAGCCATCTACCACTTACCAGCAATCTGCCACCTACCAGCAATCTACCACCTACCAGCCATCTACCACCTACAAGCCATCTACCACCTACCAGCCATCTACCACCTACCAGCCATCCACCACCTACCAGCCATCCACCACCTACCAGCCATCTACCACCTACCAGCCATCTGTCACCTACCAGCCATCCACCACCTACCAGCCATCTACCACCTACCAGCCATCCACCACCTACCAGCCATCCACCACCTACCAGCCATCTACCACCTACCAGCCATTTCCCCCACCTACCAGCCATCTACCAGCCATCTACCACTTACCAGCAATCTGCCACCTACCAGCAATCCACCACCTACCAGCCATCTACCACCTACAAGCCATCTACCACCTACCAGCCATCCACCACCTACCAACAATCTGCCACCTACCAGCAATCCACCACCTACCAGCCATCTACCACTTACCAGCAATCTGCCACCTACCAGCCATCTATCACCTACCAGCCATCTATCACCTACCAGCCTTCCTTCCCCTCCATACACACCCTCTTCCCTCCCTCAGCCCCAGCACGTGAGGGGGGGGGGGGGGAAGACATGCGTGCAGCATCACGGGTCAGCTGCGGAGGCGGCTCTGCCACTGTTAAAAGGAGAGGAAGCTGGCGAGGTAGGTACACTCATCTTGTGGCCTCATCCACACCGCCCGCACCGCCCACCCGTCTCTCACCACCGCCCACCGGCTCCTCCCTTGCGTTTAGCAAGCAGGCACGTGAGAGTGCCAGTGCCGGGTGACCTGTTGCTTGCTGTTGCACTGCCAGGCATGCAACTCTTCACTTGCTCGCTAGTTTTCTTCTTCGGCTTTACTCTTTTCTCGAGTACAGCGGAGGCCAGAGGTGAGTAGACTACAAGAGTAGACCATCACGGTAGACCAAAACACAATAGACCACCAGTAAACCACCACGGTAGACCCCCACATAGTACACCCCACAAAGTAGACCCCCACGGTAGACTCCCACACAGTAGACGCCCACGGTAGACCCCCACACAATAGACCACCACGGTAGACCCCACTCAGTAGACCACCACGGTAGACCCCCACACAGTAGACCACCAGAATAGACTTCCTCCTCCTTCGCAGAGAATTCTAAGCACAACAGAGAGCAATAATTAGCTAGATCGCACTAGTTGCCACAATACACTTGTAAATTTCACATAAATCTGATTTACAGCGATCTGTTTACAACCGAAAAGACCCAGGTTCTAATTCCTTGGACAGGTTCCTGGAGTTAATCGACTGTCGTAGTTTACATCTTAGGAAGGACCACCGTACTGGTTAGTATCGCTGAGTTATCTTAAATTATTATCCTTTCTTGGTTAAATATCCATAAGGATGCTTGGATTAAAGTGTGATAGCGATCTATAAAAAAAAGTTAGAACCGCCCCAGAAATTCATTCAGTAGACCTGACTGAGGCCAAATATCACTCCATCATCCCATTCAACTTCACTATATCCTTTTGGCTAAGAACTGTTTTACTGGCTATTGTACAGTCCGTTCTCTGGATTGCAATGCAAAAATCTGTATAATAATAATAATAATAATAATAATAATAATAACAATACGTTATTTTATGAGAACCTTCACGGCGCGCATAACGGAGATAAAACACCTCAATTACTGGGAGCGCTTGAGGTTCCTGAACCTGTATTCCCTGGAACACAGGCGGGAGAGATACATGATTATATACACCTGGAAAATCCTAGAGGGACTAGTACCGAACTTGCACACGAAAATCACTCACTACGAAAGCAAAAGACTTGGCAGACGATGCAACATCCCCCCAATGAAAAGCAGGGGTGTCACTAGCACGTTAAGAGACCATACAATAAGTGTCAGGGGCCCGAGACTGTTCAACTGCCTCCCAACATACATAAGGGGGATTACCAACAGACCCCTGGCAGTCTTCAAGCTGGCACTGGACAAGCACCTAAAGTCGGTTCCTGACCAGCCGGGCTGTGGCTCGTACGTTGGTTTGCGTGCAGCCAGCAGCAACAGCCTGGTTGATCAGGCTCTGATCTACCAGGAGGCCTGGTCACAGACCGGGCCGCGGGGGCGTTGACCCCCGGAACTCTCTCCAGGTAAACTCCAGGTAAACATGTACAAAGTATACAGGATTAGCTGACATCAGTGACATACTACTATATAGAAAGCCCCTTGTTATGCAGAGCATTTCGGTCAAATTAGGTAAATTTTATCCCAGGATGCGACTCACACCAGTCGACTAACACGCAGGTACCTGTTTTAATAATAGGTAACAAGGACAGTAGGTGTCTTAAGGAAACACGTCCTAATGTCTCCACCCGTACCATGGATCGAACCCCGGACCTCAATGTGTGAGGTAGCATTCGAGTTACTGGACAATCTATATTATAGTATTGTAGTATTTACTGAAGTTACAATATGTTATAATTAGTTATATTTTGCTCACAGACGACGATCTAACTAAACGAAACTTAACCTAAAGAAAGTTTATCAAGAAATGTCTTAAAATCGTATGTGAGAAATCGACGTTTTCGTTTAGATTTCAGATTTAACCACCGAAGCGGCTAGTGGCTAGTTTGTGCTCCGCATACCCATCTTGTGGACGGTAATGATTAATTTATTAGGCACCCTACATCCATCTTATGGATGATAATGATTAGTTTATTGTGCACACCATATCTATCCTGTGAACGGTAGTGGCAAGTTTATTGTGCACCTCATATTCTTTCTGTGGATGGTAGTGGCTAGTTTATTGTGCACCCCATATATATCCTGTGGACGGGAGAATCCATCCTGTGGACGACAGGGCAAGGCCATATAGATACTCGAAAGACTTAGGAACTAGGCCCCAAAAATGTTAACAGGAGTACATTTGAGTGAGAGCAAGGGTCGCGAGGATGTACTCTTCTGTGTAGCAGCTTGGTGATAAACCCACACACGTGATAGCCTCAAAGCTGTTCGTGGCTCAAGAAGTATCGTTTTTGGTTCATAATGAAGGACCCGGCTTGGGAGCCGAGACGAGCAGTAACGATGGGCTTATTTCCTGATGCCCCTTTCACCTTAGTAGAGAGTAGCTACCTGAAGTTCAAAGGAGCCCAATGTTAATAAGCAACACTGACTTTCTTGGGTTATCCTGGGTTACTAACCCTTAATAAAATCACAATTTTCTCACTTAAGACCATAAAAGGATAAGACAAAATCAATAAGATTTCTTAACAGTGTGAACAAGAAGAACAAGAAGTCGCAGTAGTACACTGTAAAACACCGTGTTGCAAAGATGACAAAAAAATATTCTTTACAAATGATTAAATGCGGGACTGGGACGCAAAATTTAGTTATTATCATTACGTTCACTGAAGGAGAGAAGCGCCAAGGCCGTATGGGCCATGCAGCGCCTTGGAGACTTCAATGACACGACAGAGTAAACACTTAAGCCAGACCAACATGGACATAGCTCTGCTTCCGTAGTTACAAAAAGGCAATTGTAGGTTGTTAATTACACGTCTTTCCTTCCAGACAATAACCAGTTTAATAATTAAAACCAGTATTGTGTATATTGTGTTTTGTGTAAAAATTGCAATAGTTATTCAGCAAGAATCCGAAAGCGAGGTTCGTGTTCAACTCTATTGTGTATCTGTCAACAACAGCAAATAGTTTACGAAAAAAAAACAAATCTGTAGTGGAATGGTTCTGCTGCTCACTCAATCCTCGTAGGAAACGTGCGCACCTAACGATTTACATAACGTGTGGAGAGCCACGGTAGCCGACGAAGACAGGAGACTCCTTTGAGTGACAGGCCATACCAATACTGACGGAGCATTTATTGTGAGGAGAGCGTTTATTGTGATGGAGTGTTGTTTAGTGTGAGAGAGAGGTATTAGATGTGAAGGAAACTAGTGTGATTGAGTGTTGTTTAGTGTAAGGAAGAGCCTGACAGTTGAAACTATCATGGAGTTGGAAGTGTAGATTTGCTCCGGAATCTTGCCGCTAAGAGATACAGCCAACTCTACCTCGGAGCATCGTGGTGGATGGCTCGGGTATTGTCCATCCATGGATTATTATTATTATTATAATGAAAACTAAGCACTAAACCCACGAGGGTCATACAACCTCCTTCCATGGGAAAAGTTTGCATCAACAAAGAAAGCCTTGAAGTTCAACGAGGCAACTCCTCAGAGGAAATACAAATGAAAGCTTTGTCAAGCACCCAGTACTTGATAAAACGTTGTACAAATAAAGAACAATGCGTTCGTTTCTTTTTTGTCAAGTCTGAGCGTCTTGTTTGGCAGAAACAGTTTTTTTTTTTTATCTGAGGAGTTGCAAAGGAGCCTCGACAGCCAGTGATGCCGTTAGTTTTTGACTGACTATGGAAGAGGTAGATCTTGAAGGCATACTTAACCTCCATCCATTTCGGACGATGCATGGCACATATAACTTGCAAACCAATTTCATCCCGAGCAAGAACACATCCGAGAAAGGTGACTGATAGTTTCGGACACTCTCGTTAGTAGTACAAGGGGTTGTGATGAATGGTTTTGAAAACCGACAAGTTGAAGATTGAGACACTTATGCACCATATGGGAATCTTTATTTAGGAAGGAAACGTTTCGCCACACAGTGGCTTCATCAGTCCAATACAAAGCAGCGAGGTGCAAGAAGAGGAGGAGATTGAGGTAATCAGTCCCTCAGCCTGGAGTCGATGTGTTCAGTCCATCGACTCCAGGCTGAGGGACTGATTACCTCAATCTCCTCCTCTTCTTGCACCTCTCTGCTTTGTATTGGACTGATGAAGCCACTGTGTGGCGAAACGTTTCCTTCCTAAATAAAGATTCCCATATGGTGCATAAGTGTCTCAATCAGTACAAGGGGTTGTTTAGTTTCATCTGCACTTGGGCGAATGCCAGGATGTCAGCGCGAAGTGAGGCTGCGAAAGATTCCACCAAGAAGTCTGTGGATTTCAGCTAGAAATTGAAGCGATTCGTAAACTGCCACTTCTGGAATCTCTAGAAGAGGATTTCCGGCTGATACCCTGATATCCTGATTGTCTTCTCGAAGACTGCTATTATGATCAGTTCCATGATATACTAGTGGTGTTCCACTCCTCTCTTCAAGGAGGGGGACAGTTACCGGAACGACGTCCTGTCCTAAAGACCACAATCCGATCAACAACATTCCGTTTTCATGAACAAATGAAGGCGGCAATTGCTTGGATCTCACCTGTTACAGAGGATTATGTTGGTACTCCGAGCAGCTACTCCACTTCGACACCCTAGGTGCCGACTCGGAACCGATCTACGAACTGTCAAAGAGATGGAAGCAAAAAATCCTGGTCTCAGGTTTCTCGACTTTGTGGCTCGGTGGAGTGCCCTGACCTGTTGAATGGAGTTCCTGTTGATCACGAAGCTAAGGTGGGTCACTCAGCTCAAGGAGGTAGTGGAGGTTCGAGCCTCCGTTCACTGAGGCTTAATCTCTGACACACCAACTTGTTGCTGATAGTTGCTACTAGGATAGGTTAAGCTTTACTCGGGAAATAGGTATAAATGAATTATTTTATATTATAATTATGGAGAAGCGGTAAAACCGTAGGGGGTCGCAGAGCTCCTGGAGAACGGAAGGTAGTCGTATCTGACCCAAGAGAAGGGTAGCTCTAATTCCATGGACCAAGAGTCCTTCACCAGCAAGAAGGTCACTAACGACTCTCTTAAAGATCCCGGCTTAGTTCTCAAATATAAATAACAACCATAAATAAGCTGTAATCCTTGATTTAACCACATTTACATTTACGTCACTGCCCTTATATATTTTTCAACACCTGTCACGGCACTGTCAGAGTCTGCGAGCATTATTATTAT